AGAAAGTCCCATGAAAACTTGGAACGTGGCTCTTAAAGATACGCTCATATATCATACTCCTAGCCAACGGTTGTTTTACTTAGTTGAGATTCTTGCTTAAATTACTTCGCATTCGGTATGTGATAGGAAAGACGATGAGTGAGACTTGAATGTAGGAGTAGGCATTTGCTAGTTGATGTAAACCAATAGTATAAATAGAATAAATGAAAAAAACTAGCTGAAAATTTTGAAACATTTCTAATGAGCTCAGCTTTACCTAGGAACAGCAACATTGTTCAGTCCCAGTTTATTGTTAAGACAGGTGTCGGTATAAAAGTGTCTGAAAAGAGATTAGGTTATTTGGTGCTTAAGGGAAATAAGCCAGTCTGGCGCTCATGAGTTTTGACTTATTCACTAAAATCTCATAATCATCCATTATACTATTCAAGCCTATTTAATGAGGTTGGGATGAATTTCACTGTGTGTTGGCTGAATTTCGCTCCTTAACTCTAAAAGCACCTGGCGAAGAGACTCATAGATCTATCTCACCTGAAGTCGAAACTGATTCCCACTGTTTTGTCCTCGTTTGATCTTACTTCGGTGTTCAGAACAACGGGAATCATTTGTCATCTTTTAAAGAGAACGACCTATGAAACTATTCACCAGGTACTTTCACGCAAATTGAATGCAGCACAGCAATATTATCTCAGCAGATAGGTCGAATCTCAGTTACTCTTCGTATCTACATTATGGCAAATATTAGTTTTATGTTTCAGATTTTATACAGGATTAAGCTTTTATAAACTCTTAATGTATCCACTTGCACATCCCCTCAAGTAAAACGATATTTGTATAGTTTAGTAAGACATCAAATGTGTTTTTTAATCCTTCTAGGTCTCTCTCCAACCGTGTTAACGTTGATCGTGAATATCCCGAGTCAGAATCTGACGTTGAGAGTGTGGACAGCTTCGAGGGAACTGTGCGTTTCTTTCCCTCAGATGATGACAGTACCGATACTGAAACAAGTCCACCTTCGCCTACAAGCTCTGTCATCTCTAGCTTCGATCGTACAAATATTGGCCTATATGCAGATCATACTACACGTCTAGTAAAGCCTTCTAATCTAGCAAAGACATTTCTCCTCCTTATCTTTCACTTAGACATTTTCAGACACATCTTTAAGGCTTTTTTTCCACTTATGAACTTGAAATAACTTCATCGAGTTGAGGATAGGCAACATGTGAAACTTCTTATTTATTTACTTTTACCTTGCTTAATTCTATTACGCCTATTACCTACATATTTTATTTTAGTAGGTACCGTATTTTCCGGCGTATAAGACGACTTTTCACACCATAAATTTCTGCTCCTAAGGGGGGGGTCGTCTTATACGCCGATTGTAGTTTACGGATAGCTAATTATACTATGGTTCCGAGCTCCTGTTGTGCCCCTTACCTCCTACACACACACAGCTGACTGGAAAAGTCAGGGGGTCGTCTTATACGCTGTAAAATACGGTAAGTAGAAATTCGAAACTACCAGTAAATCAGTGATATGAGATGTATTCACCATATTCCGTTTGAGATGATGAAGGACTCGTAGTAGAATTTTCTTATAATGGTATGAGTAGAGCTGACGTTTCCATTGAATTTCACATAGCCTTGCATCCCCAAAAGTTGTTCTCATCCAGATTGGACTTCAGTTTTGACCTCACATAGGTCTTATCAACACCCCCAGCGGGAGTCAAACCATGTCAGTGCAGCATGTGACACGTTAACCTCTCGACCCAATTGTCACAAGTGATCTTGGGTCACAGGGCAGATGTCAATTTCAAGGAAGGCCAGGCCTTTTTCAATATCACATTCTTTGGTGTAATTGTCAATGAAGCAAGCGTATTTTTGCTATAAGAATCGACTACGTTACCTATCTTTCCTATGTAAGTAGAGTTTTGAGACTACCAGTAGGAAGGAAGGCCTGGCCTTTCTTGAAATGGACATCTGCCCCGTGATCCAAGATCACTTGTGGCAACGAGTGGTTAACGTGTCACATGCTGCACTGACACTTTTCGACTCCCGCTGGGGTTGTTGATATGCGAGGTCAATTCTGCAGTCCATTCTAAATGAGAACAACTTTTGGGAATGCAAGGCTATGTGAAATTCAATGGAAACGTCAGCTCTACGCATATTATTGTAGAAAATTCTACTACCTCACTTCAAACAAAATAAAAAATTTTCAAGACTTGATGTTGTCCCATTTTTATTAATACTCAATGTTTATGACTTCCATCTTTTGTGAATTGAGCGATATCAAGTCGGCGATTATAATCCTTCTTATATTTCATAACTGTTAGTAGGTCTTTAATACGAGATTTATGAATCCTAGAACGCATAATTTGATGAAGCTGTTGTCCTTGTCTCCTAGAAGGTGGACCGCTGTTTCAACTCCAACGTAAATTGAAACATGGATTATGTAGCATATACTTTAACATATTAACAGCATTCCATACTACCACAGGTGTCGGCGAATCATAATGCAGACGTGGAATTCAAGGCTAGTGAGTATTCTCTAATATTAGACTGATATTGTCGAAGATGCAGACCTGTATTTACGGTTACAATGGACTACACTACTTATATTCGAATTGAGTCTGTTTCAAAGTCACCATTATCACCTAAATTTCTTCTCCCATTTTTCAGTCTTCTAAGATTGCAGACCGTCGTATTCCTAGAGCTTATCGTCCTGGCCCTGCCAATATTCTCCAGGCATTGACACAATCCTGTTCTAACGATTTTGTTAGTCTAGAACGCATGGAGACAATTGGGGACAGTTTCCTTAAATTCGCAGTTACAGTATCTCAATTCCTTCGTTTCCCGAATGCTCACGAGGGCAAACTGAGCTTCTTGCGGAGTCGTGTGGTATGTTTTAGCACTGCTTGATCAACCAAACGTTTCATGGTTTTATTGAAGTATATTTCTTAATTACAAAATACTGCGAACTCAATACAATTGTTAAAAATCATACGGTCTCAAATTTTATGGCGTTGGTTTGTTTTTCGTTTCGTTAAAAAATGCGATTAGAAGATATTTGTAATCTGACTACCGAAAATAGAAAGAGTTTGCCTTGGAATCGTGATTGGGGAATCGCACGAAGAATACCTCGGCTTACCTTCCTACGACTTCAAGGAATCCATGCTGAGCTTTATTTTGTTATGTAACATTCTTACAGAGTCAGAAATCATCATTCACCGAAGAAATAACGAGTTCGTTATTTATTGGGACATTTAGCCAACCATTGACACTAGGTGATCTCTTCCACTGATTAGAATTATGCAAAGGTTGACGAGTAAGAGAATTAATTTTATACGATTGCATTTG